CTCCTTATAGGAGGAGAGGGTACTGCGCGCGGCCGGCAGAAGGTCGGCGCGGCCAGTACAGCAAACAACTTAGGCAGATATACAGCTCCTTATTTTAAGCCTCTCTTGAGGTTAAAATCAAGGGTTGTTGAACAAACTTATATTTGGTGAGTTTGATTTTAACATTTGATATCTTATTGGAATGGCATTTGTTCTATAAAATAAAATGTTTTTTTGAATAGTAAAAAATCAATATACACAGTGCAATCTTATATTCTCTACAACTGTGTTCCTTCAGGATGTTGGATCAGGGGAAGAGACTTAGAACAGACTTCAGATGTCATTTAGTTTAAAACCTTCATCTTACAAACAAGGCCAAAGAGGTTAAGTGAGTTGTCTAAGATCATAAAGATGGGAGCGGGGATTCGAATTCAAGTCCTCTGCCTCCAAAAGCAACAGCTCTCCCAAAGAGACTCAGTCCAAAACGGTAGAAGAGGTCTAGCAGGGCCTAGAAAATGGACTTGAGTCAGTCACCCTAATGGACTGAGTGCTTTACTTTCTCTTTCTTTCTTTCCCTCTGCTCTCTAGCTCCCTTCTTTCTTTCCCATAGAGTTTAGAGCCTAGAATAGCATGCAGTTCAAGAAAGCTCCCTTCACAAAGTAATCACAAAATGAGGGAGGCTATGGGTAGCAATTCTACCCCTATACAGGACCAAAGGAAGACCTAAAGATACTCCAAACTATTTTTTAAGATTTGAAAAGGTGAAGGTTCCATGCCACATCACAAATTCGTAATACTGAAGTGCAGTAGAAAGTGGGTTTGATTTCAAGTCTCAGGATGTGGATTTGAATCCTGGCTATGCTGCTTTCTTCTTGTTATAACCCTTGGCAAGTCACTTTACTACTCCAGACCCTGGTGTTGGATAAGATGACTTTCAAGGTTCCTTCCAATCCAGGGTCCCTAAATCTCACAGTTCCATGCTCCCAAGTGCTATTCCTACTTCATAGAGCACACTGGGGACTGTGAAGTTGGAATCTCTATGTAAGGGTCCCAATGGCAAAATCACAGAATCTCAGAATTGAAAGGGATTCCAGAGGCCATCTATTCCAACCTGTGCCAGAATAAGGATTCCATCTGCAATACGTTTAACAAGTGGTCGTTCAGCTTTTGCATGAGGAGGAAACCATTACCTCCCAAGGAAAACCATTCCATTTTGGCCAGCTCTAATTGTTAAGAAGTTTTTTCTTACATCAAGCCTCTTTACAACTTATATCCACTGCTTCTGTTTATTCCCCCTGATGCCAAACAATTCAAACTATATTCTCTCTTCCACATGACAACCCTTCAAATAATTAAAGGCAGCTATCAGGCACCCTCCTACAAGTCTTTCCTTCTCCCTAGTTCCAGCTAATTACCATATGAGATGAACTCATCATCCTTCACTATCCTACTAATCCTTCTTTGGACAGTCTCCAGTTTATCAATAGCCTTCCTTAAGTGTAGTGTCCAAAACTGACCACTCTCAAGGTCTCTCTAAAGAACTCAGGAAGGTGAGACACGGGAAATACTGCCACAGGGCCACCCAGCAGGGTGTGCCTGCATCAAAAACAGTTCCACGCTCTATGAGCAAAACAGAATTGCAGTAGCTCAAAAAAAAAAACCCAAAAAACCAATATGTGCAAATTTAGAGACATCTCCACTCCAAATGTTCGTATGGACTATTTGTGCCCAACCTGTGGTGGAGGCTTCCGAGCTTGTATTGGTCTGATCAGTCACAGAGGTACCTTGACCCCAACATACTGATGTCATTTTGGTCCCTTCAAAAACAAAGGACAGCAACCAAGTATGAAATCCAAAAGTGAACACAGTACTCCAAATGCAGTATGACTTGGGCAATTTGTTTATCTTAATGTAGTCTAAGACTACAATAATTTTCTTGCTTGAAATATCAAACTGTTAACTAATGCTGAGCTCCATACTCTTGGATCTAACCCTACCTCTTGCTTTCTACTTCAAGTTCTCCATATACATTGTCTTCCCCTAATAGAATATAAGCTTCTTGAGGGCAGGGGGTATCTTGCTTGCTTGAATTTATATCCCCAATGCTTAACACAGTGCCATGTACTTAATAAGTGCCTAAAAAATGCTTCTTCATTCATTCATTCATTCACTTACAAGGCCAGTGGGGTTGACCTTCTAAAACTGATCAATTGTTACATATGGAACCTTTGCAATCCCATACATTCATAACTCTAGGAGTGCCTGTGTTCCTCTTTCAACATCTCTAATGCATCAGCATAAAGACATTTCTAAACTCATCTTTCTAGGCCCCAAAACAAAATCCAGATTCAATTGATGAAAGACAGAGGCAAATTCTTCTGACGCCCTTAAACAAGAACTTACCTGCATGGCTACAACTTTGCTTTTACTATGTTGGCTCAGTGACCACTCGTAGCTGATAATCTGGTGGTCATCGCTGCTCTGGTTTCCATTGAGGGTGATGAAGTTCTGTGGTAAAGTTATCACCTGGTTTGGTCCTGCATTGGCAAGAGGTGGGTAGTCCACAGGTTTGTTGACTATTAGTAATGCAATAGTAGAGTTTGCAGCTCCATCTGAATCTATTACTGTTAACCTATGGAAAGGAGAATGAGAATGGGAGGGAGGGAGAGACGGAAAGGGGGGAGGAGGAGAGAGAGAGAGAGAGAGAGAGAGATGGAAGGAGGGAGAGATGGGGAGAGGGAGAGGAAGAAAGGGAGGGAGGGAGAAGGAAAGGGAGAGAGAAAGAGAGAGAAAATTCATTACACTAGTATTAGAAGAACCTCCCTACTTCCCAAATTTTAAGCTTAGATGCCTGTTTGTTCTACTTAGAGCTTATACTTTCAGACTTAAACTGTCTAGTAGGTTGGTCTGTTAGGGATATATTGAGGTAAAGAAAGCAAGGAGTTTGAAGATGGAACTAAGGTGGGAGGAGGGAGGACGGGGAGGAAAGCCTGAAGATATTCTGAAGATAAAGAAGTACTTTCCATAGGGTTGAGGAAAAGATGATTAACATTAAAATGGAAAAGGTGTTTCTGAAAGATAAAGAGATATCAGTCTTTTATTTAAATAATAATAATTTTAGGACCACTATTCTAGATCTCAGCAGAACAAGAAATAAATATTTGCATCAAAAATAATAGAAGGCACTCAATAGGCCATTGTGTGACAATTGACTGCTACAGAGCAAGATAGCATGGCATTTCCAACATATCACCATTGCAAAAAGAACAGGCCAGGCGATGTGTGTCTTCATGTGGTGTCCTATGCAAAGAGAATTAACATCATAGAGTTAGAGCTTGAAGGGACCCCAGAGATTATCTATTATAAATTTCTCTTTTGAATCCAGTGAAGAACAGAATCCTAGAGATACTAAGTGACCTGCCAAGGTCACAGAGGTAGTAAGCATCAAGGCTAGGAATCAAAGCCAAATCCTCTAAACCTAATGCTTTTCCCACTATATCATGCTGCCCAGACAAAACCTCTGCTCTATCAATAATTTACCAGCTATTACAACACTATTAAAGGAAAATTATATAAAAAGACATCTTGACAACAGAATGAAAACAATAAACTAAGCTGAGGTTTATGTGTTCCATGGGTGTGTCCACACTGCTGCAGGAAGTTGCTAAGTTAGCTTTAAGTTTCACAAGTGGACTTGTTAGGACTACAGAAACAAGTGATCATTTGGGAAGGCATAATGGAGAATGTGGTCCATTATTTGAGAATTTATTAGATCAAAAGATCTTACTGCAGCCCGGGGCTCAAGCCTAGGTATTTACATAAGACTCTCCTCCTTGGTGGAGAGAATGATTATTTCATAGTCTGTGCCTGTGGGAGGGGCAGAGCTGGCAAGAGCTTGGGAGAGGAG